TTAAATATAAAATCAAAATCAAATGTTACAAATAGGAATAGCAAATATAAAATGAAATACAAAAGACTCCAAATATGAAAACGGACGAAGGACTCTAAAAGACCGACAAGGGACTAACGCTCTGGAACGACACCCCTCTGTGACAGTGCAGCTCTCGAACACCTTCCCGTATCGACTGGTACCTGAAAAAAAAAAAAAAAAAGAAAGGGGTAAGTATAAAAATATACTCAGTAACCAACCTACTTGTAGGCTCTTTTCGCATCCTTATCTTAGTGGGTATACACGACTTATCTCTGGATTCTAGTGAGTGCAAATCATGCTCCATCTCTCTTTTCTGTATCTTGGAAGGTTTGTCTATCTTATGCAGTGAAATGATCAGTGTCCTGAGGTGAGGCGCGACCTCATAAGTAATCTGAGGGGATCATATGGCTGGATCTGAATACGTGACTCTCTCTGAACATCATCCGTGGAGGTTAGTTGACGACCCTCACATGGGACCATACATCCACTAAACGGGGTGCGACCCCCTGTGTGTCGGTCAGCTACTGAGTTATCCTACGTGGCTCCACGTCCCCTGCTCAGGGACGGGTTTCTATAGCCCAAGAAACCTGTTCAGAAGACCCCTTAGCTATCACCACTAGGTCTGGGCACCTTTCACACTTCCCTATCCGGATCTGCCAAGCTCAATGATCTCCGTACCGGAGTTCTGTCTCGACGGTACGGTATCGGAGCTGAGAGGGAAGTGGAGGTTCTGGTGACACTATCCACACTGCTAAACTCTAGCGGGCTACCTACAGTTACCGTGGTGACCTACTATTCTTTCTTGGGTGGAACTTGGTGGCTTAGACTTGGATTCATGCATCTTTAAGATTCTCGTGCAAGGTCTCACAAACCTATCAGTTTTCAAATTCTGGGCTCTGGATCCGCCGGTAATCGTTTCGCAGGTCAAAATGCACGGTATTCTAGAGGTCCCCTAATCTAGGGTCTCATCTAGCCTACTTAGTCACAAATACCCTAATCTAAGCTCATAATTTCTTCCTGTTCATCAAGAAAGATAACACAAGCCATCATCATGCATAGGAGTTAACACGCAGCAGTTCATGCAATATTAACAAACATGCTCAACGGGAAGATAACGTCCACCTTTACCTGGAGTGCAGATTTCATAATTTTCCCATCCTCCTCATGCATACATACTTTATCAGAATCTCAATCAAAACAGATTTAATAAATATTTCATATCTAGCTTTCCTTAATCATTTTATTTTCACAGTTTCCATACTAATATGCTAGGTCCGGCTAGCTAATTTTATGGGTGGTAGCATGCATGCATGTTCCTACCGGTTCATACAAGTACTGCTCGTGGGAATTCAAATGGCTACTTACATGGTTGATGCGTGCCTTCCCAAGCTCGAATCATTTGCCAGAAAAGGTTCCAAAAATTCTGGAATTTCCTTGATAGGTTCTAATTCACATAAAAATAGGATCAGAGTTGAAATCGAGGCAAAGAACAAGCAAACGGAGGTCGAACGGAGGGAAAACGGTCACTCACGCGCCTACAAGTGCGCTGACACGCTCTGGAGGGTGTACTACGCGTGACTTCCCACGCAGTCGCAGGCCAGCGACCGGTTGGGCCAGTTCGAGTGGTTCGGACTTAGGCCGACCCAATTGCGCCCGCCTGATGCGCTTCTCCAGCCCGCGGTCGCCACATGTCGCTCGTCGATCCTGCAGCGCTCCTCCGTACGTCGGCCGACATGTGGCGGCGATTCCTCCTCTCTCTTCTTGCGTTTTTTTCCAATTTTCTAGAAACGTGAGTTTTGGTGTTTTCGATCCATTTTCTTCTGATTTTTATATCTTCCAATCCATGATCCGAATCAACAAGTTCTCTTCACGAGTATTATAGATGTCATATTCTATTTCTACAATATATTTTTCTTGTATTTTTTTTTGGTAATCACAGGTCTTATTATTTGAGTTCGAATTTGGGGAAAAACACGAGTTCTTACCGAAAATAACGTTTTCTTGAAACTCCAATTTTCGTCCAGAAACTTCAAAAGACCTGTGTGAATCTTATTTTAGTTACATACCTCAAAAACTCCAGATCTAATGCTCATGAAATTTCTTAGATCTAGATAAAATCGAAACACGAAGTTTAGAATCTTACTTTGTCCGTTCTTAGATTTTCTTGCTGGAATGAGTGGATCCACCACCCAAACTTCTTTTCTAGCACCGAGAGGAGTATTGCTTCGAAGTTTCTTACCTTGGATTAGATCTCCAACAACAGTTTGTCTTCTCTACTATTCCTCTCTCCCAAACCCTTAACTTCTTCTCCTTTCTCCTTTCTCCTTTCTCTCTCTCTTTTTCTTTTCTTTCTTTTTCTCCTCTTTGTAGAGCCCAAACAACTAGACCCTTTCTAAGAGACCCTTTGTAAGAGACCCTTTTGCCCATATGTTGTTATTTTATTTATTTATTTATTTATAAAAAAATTCGAGTATTACTTCTTATCTATTTTTCTTTCTGTCTTATCTATTTTATTTTTATTTTCGGTTCAATGCCAAGAAAATATGATAAATATAGTCAAGAAAACCATTTATAACACTTCCTTAATGTGCTTGAGATAATTTGTGCTAATTAAGGAGAAAATATAGAAAATCAAACAGTCTCATTTGTGGTTTCATTTATTTTTTAATTAAAATTAGGACTTTGTTTTTCATCTCAATCAAAAATAGAAAATAAAAAAGAATTAATATTTATAACTATGCAACACATAGGGATATCCAAACTCAAAACTCTCATAGCATTTAATCTTTTGCATCGATATTAACCTTAAATTACCTTCCCAAAGAGGATTAAGAGCTTGTTCAACCCAAGTTTTTTTTGGGTGTATAATGAACAAAAACCCAAATGGCTAAGCATCAACAAAAGAGCCTCAAGTATCTAAAGAAAAATTGAAGGATCCATTATTATTAATACACGTTTTGAAGGATCCAAGATACAAGCTATAGGGAGCAAAGAGCAAGAACCATGGAGCGAATGACAAGTGGCTATCTACAATTATCAAACAAACTAAGTTTTAAATGTTCATTGCAAGTCAAGAGATGACGTTTGAGCGACAGCATTTTGGACATGCATGCTCGATTCAACTGGAGCTTCACAATGAACTTTTAGCGTACGACTTTATTTTGGTGCAACTTTAATGGTTAGAATGGACATGCTTCATTTAAGGATTTTAGCGTGGGAACTAGTATTAGCTTTCTCCACGGTATGACTTTAAAAACTGCATTTAGATAGCATTTGATGATGGATTTTACTTGAGAAATATTCCTTCGGATATCTTTGAATTATACACCCTTGGGAAAAATGAAATAAAATCCTCGAACCACAAAAACCTGTTTTTTTTTTCTTTTATGTTGGATTGCTCACCCATGTAGCAATTCAACATAGTGTTGTTGACCTAAGATTTTGTATATTTGAAATCTACAGTAGTGAGAGGAATCTTTTGGGATATCACAATTCTTTTAATGTTTATAATTTGGTCGGGTTTTGAGCTTCTAATTGCAATGACTCATACCCAAGATTCGAAATATGAATTTGGTACTTAATGGCCCTAGGATTCCCGTGACGATATAGTCAGGTTACTTACTCCTCGCTTCTAATAGTAAAAACTATGAACGCAAACCAACATGAGTCCTTCTAACACGTTTTGTCCTCAATCACGTGTTTGCTACAAAAATTCTCAAAAGGTCACCCATCATAAAATTGCTCTAGTTGAATTTGGAGTTTCTATAGTTGAAACACCAAAAAGGAAAGTGCACCTCTTTGATATAGATAGTAACTTTCAATTCTTTTTCAGATTTTCTCATTCATCTATACTCTGGATTGCTTTCCTTCGAATGTCATCTTTACTCATTCATGTGCTCTCTTTGTCCGAGACTAGAGGCCACCCCTATGATGATAGAGATAGATAGGTCCCTAAATAATGATTGTTTGTGTTTTCATTTGCATGGCCCCCTATAGTGGGGCCACTTACTTAGCATTCTTTCAAATACTCAAGCTGTGTGCCACATTATTTTTCAAATCAAGGCAAGGTGCACTTTTACGAAGGACGGCTGCTTCACGAGCAGAGACTGTGGCACGTGCATAAGGTAGATTGATATTTAAATTTCTAGGTTTAGGTTAGAATAGGTTGTTATGCATTTCATTGTTTTAAATTATTTTGTATTGCTCTTATTTTCTCTTAATTTCAGTATTTCGTATTTAAATACGTAAGGACATGGGTGTGTTTTCGAGAGAATAGTTGTTTTAAGCGTTTTTCGAAGTTTATGTAATAAATGATGGTTATGCGAATGTCATAGCAAAATAATAATAATAATAATAATAAATAAATAAATAAAATAATAAATAAAGATATAAGCCAACAAAAATAATTATAAAAAAATATTTAAAATAATAATAATAAATAAATAAATAAACCAAAAAAAAAAAAACTTTCCTCACTCCTCTCCACTAACATCTCATCCCATCCCACAATTATCTCTCCTTAAGCCATCTTTAAGAAAACTGAAAAACAACAGATTGGAGTAAAAAAATGAGAATGGTCTTTACCCAGTTGAGACTTTCTGTAGATTTACTTGAAGATAGATTTAATAAATAAAATATATATTAAATCTTCATTTTCTTTTATTTTTTTTAGAAATCATAGCCAATTATAGTTAGATGTTCATTAAATTATTACAATGGTTTAGCTTTGAGTTAGAAATTAAGTGTCAATCATTATACGAATTCTAGTAAATCTTAAATTATTACAATGGTTTAGCTCTGAGTTAGAAATTAAGTGTCAATCATTATACTAATTCTAGTAAATCTCACTAATATAAGAATAAATTTATATCAGTATTCAAATGAATAGATTAAAAATAGAATGACCAAAAAATTTTGTGAACAGTAAACGTAAGGAAAGATTTGGAAACAGGGATTCACTATAAATTTGTAACGCCCCAAGCCTAACAGGTACAATTCGCTCTATCCTTGTGATTAGCACCTTCTTAACCATTGTGAGTTTCTAGATTTTATTGTAGAACTTAGAGTGTTATTTTCAAATCGGTGCAGAAGAAAGAAATGCTCGTGATGCATCAAGTAACTTTAAAAAAAAAATGGTAATGTAATTGAAATTTTGATCAAAGTCAATAGGGAAAAAGGTAATTTTGCCCCATACATATAACTTTGAGGGGGTCTCGTTAGACCTGGATGAAGGGAAAGAAAAAGAAAAGAATAAAAAAAAATAATAAAAAATAGAAAGAGAAAGAAATGAATAGTTAGGGTTTTTAAGAAGAGGAAGAAGAGGGAGAAGAGGGAGAAACGCCCTAAAACCGAATTGAAGCACCCTCAATCTTAGGTCTCCTACTAAAGCTACTCAGAGTATCAAGAGGAGTGGTCTGAGCGTTGGATCATTCGTTTCCAACAAGAAACGGGCAAGAATGCGAGGTGAGTCCGCGATCTCTCTTGTTTCAAGATTTCACCATAAATCGGAGAGTTTTAGATGATTTAAACCTTATTAATCTAGTTGCAATACTTTAGGTGAGGAGTCTTGTAAGTTTTTAGAGGAAAACAAAATCGAGAAACCGTCCTACTTCGGTAAGAAACTGAATTTTTCTTAGTTTTCGACTTCATTTATTAAGTACTGTGAGTATCAAAAAATACAATAAAAATATATCTGGATAGGCGGACTTGAGATCTTGAATTCTTATAAAGGAACCAATTTAATTCGAGTTACAGTTTGGAAGATAGAAAAATCCAAAATAAATAGATTGATATAGAATTTGACCAGAATCTTGAAATTAGATGAACTCAGGCAATCGGCGACGAACACGGGGTCACCGGAACGGGAGGACACGTATCAAGCAACTGGTGGAGAGACACTTCTGGTGCCTCCGCTGACACGCGTCAGACTATTGACCCAAAAACTCGACCTACGCTCTGTGAAGCAACCCGACGACCTGCGGTCCAACCCGAAACCTACCACAAGTCCTTGTTCGAAACGTGTCACGCCCAGAAAATTCAAGGGGTAAGTCTACGTCCGCTAGGGATCGAGATGCGCCTCTGCCCGCGCATTGCCTGCGTTGACCGTGCGTACGCCCTGCACGTGGTGAAGTGTTCAGGCGTGTGGGAGCCCCTTATGAGCACTTGCAGGCGCGTGAGTGCCCTGTTTTCACCTATTTTTCATCCTGATTCTAGTGCTAATCCTATTTTACTGTGAACTAGGTCTCTCTATAGATAATTCGTATTTTTTGGACTCTGTTACGACTGTAATCAAGCTCGAGAAGGCACGCAACATACTTGTACGTAACCATACAGATTTAGGAAGTAATACTTGTTGGGTGCAATGGTTTTGCATGCATGCTAGAGCGAATTATCCCTAGGTAGCTAGATCTAATGATCCTCTATACTTGTGAAGTTAAATATATATTTGTTGGACTTGCTGCCTTTTTGAGATTTCGTACTCGATGTTTGTATGCTTGTTGGACTATCTTTTTACTGCTTTTATCTGTTCATACTA